GCTCCTGGTCAGTAATTGGGGAGTCTTTAATGGCCTGTAGTTTCTTATAGAGCTCCTGGTCAGTAATTGGGGAGTCTTTAATGGCCTGTAGTTTCTTATAGAGCTCCTGGTCAGTAATTGGGGAGTCTTTAATGGCCTGTAGTTTCTTATAGAGGTCCTGGTCGGTAATTGGGGAGTCTTTAATGGCCTGTAGTTTCTTATAGAGCTCCTGGTCAGTAATTGGGGAGTCTTTAATGGCCTGTAGTTTCTTATAGAGGTCCTGGTCAGTAATTGGGGAGTCTTTAATGGCCTGTAGTTTCTTATAGTGCTCCTGGTCAGTAATTGGGTCCAATGGATTTTGATTGTCCTTTACAGCTTTTCGAATCCGTTCAACTTCTCATGAATTTGTTCTGCGTTTGTGTCAATTTGAACGGTGTTGTAGAGTGTTTTAAAATGGGTTGTCCATATGTCACCATTTTGTATTGCTAATTCCTCTAGTTTAGATTTTTTTAAAGCGTTTTTTTTCTTCAATTTGACCAGAATTTGTTTGTGTTTATGGATTCCTCAAATAGTATCAGCTGCTTGCTGTTGTACTGTGCTTTCTTAGTTCTGAGTGTACGTTTATAGAGTTTTAAAGTCTCACAGTAATGAAGGCGTAATTCACCATTATTCGGGTCACTGTGCATCTGGTTTGATAGTGTTCTAAGTTTTGAATAAATATGAAACAATTGAAAATGTATGCACTCACTAAATGTAAGTCGCTCTGGATAAGAGCATCTGCTAAATGATGTAAATGTTTTTTCCTTATAATTTTACAATCTGCATCAAACCAGTCATCTGTGGTCTTTTTTTGTTGTTATTTTTTAAAATCAATTTCAGCTGTGCTTCTTTTGCCGTTTGCCTGAATATATAGTTGATGTTCTTTACTGGTAGATTGATGCCTTTACTGTGAGTGGATGTGGTACCCAGAAAGTTATCTAAGAGTATTTGGATGTTTTGGTTACTGGTTGCTTTCTGGTATTCTTCTGTGCTGTTCCATCTGTATGAGTTTCTGATGTTGTGCAGCTCACTGGGCTGTGAATGTGTGGTTGTTTCCATGTCTGGTCTTTTGAGGAACAACGTAATTTGGCTGTGATCAGACAGAGGTGTTAGTGGCTTGACGGTGAATGAGCTGAGAGAGAAAGGGTCAATGTCTGGTGAGCAATAGGTGAATCTCCCCAAAGAGTCCCCCCCGTAACCTACCACTGACAGAGTACAGACCCAGGCTTCGACAGAGCTGCAACAGATCCCTTCCGTTTTTGTTGATGGTGCTGTCACTGTTGTTTCTACTGGGGAGATTAAGACAGTTAGAAACAGTATGGCCTGTAATAAAGCTGTCCCCTCGTGTGCTCGTTAGATCAGGTAGTGTTCCTGTGAGTGTATTTGTTTCCCCACAGATGAGCACATTTCCCTGGGCCTGGAAATGGCACGTCTCTTCCTCAAGGCTGGGGAATATCTCCTCTGAGTAATATGGGGATTCTGAGGAGGGGATTTACAATGTGCAAAGGAACACAATTCATTTTTCAGATTTAACAAAATGTGATATTTACCCATTTTGCGGGGATCCATTTGATTTTGTAGTTCGGATTTGTACCAAATTATCAATCCTCCAGAGTCTCTGCCTCTATTGACAGAGCCGTGTTGCTGTGACGGCACAATTACCTCTCTGTAGCCTGTGGGACATGAGTGACAATGTCTGCCTTACACCATGTCTGCTGCAGAATGATGACATCAACACCTTTAAGATTTGTTTTAAACTCCAGCGCTAAACTCTCCAGTCCGAAGGTTGATGAGATTAGGCCCTGAATGTTCCATAGAATAACTGATAGTGATTTTGATATTGCAAAATGAAAGAACAGCACAGTCAGAAATACAGTAACTACTAACTGCTGAGTCGTTCAGTGTGATAAACAGGATAACTGAAATACAGTAACTACTAACTGCTGAGTTGTTCAGAGTTGTGAAGAGGATAACAGATATACAGTAAGTCGCTCTGGATAATAGCATCCATAGCATTATGACAGGATAGGTGTTAGACAAGATGGCACATTGAATAGAAAGCGGTACAAAACACCTCAAGATAAAAAACATAATATTCAAAATCAGTAAGTTAGACTAAATATTAGCATTTCATATATTCGCAGTAAATAAAATTCAATCAGGATAATAACACAAAACAGATCATAAGGCTAGAGAAATATATCGACAAATATCACAACAACACGCAACACCCAAACATGGCGGAAGATAAATGAGGAGAATTAATCTCCGAGAGAAAACGCGACTCGTCGACTGATACAGATGATTTATGCTTTTCAGCACTGGGACTGGTAAGTGTGGAAAGCAACCTGTTGAAGTCGATAAATGACAAACTGGGCATACTAGAATTGGTCAGTAATGATGTAAAAGAGTTGAAAGCGAGTCTTGAAATGAGTGACGAAAAAGCAGCGATAATGGAAACAGAAACCTGTCACTAAGATGGAAACGGACGTTAGGGAACTAAACAAGGAGAACAACCTTCCGAGAGAAGCCTTACTAGACATCCAAACTAGATCGATGAGGGAAAATCTAGTATTTACGGGTATTCAGGAAAAGGAGGGAGAAATAACCGAGAATATTATGAAGGACTTCCTGCATACAGCGCTTCAAATACCACTCGAGGCTGTCGATAAAATCCAACTCGAACGTGTACACCGTTTCGGACAAAGAGGACAGAAATACGAGCGCCCAATCAAAGCCAAATGTGAATTTTTTTAAGGATAAAGCAATGGTTAAAAGTCTAGGTAAAAGACTTGCTGGCACAAAAATAGGCATGAATGATCAGTTCCCGGTGGAGATTGCAGAAAGGCGCAAAGTTCTGTATCCAATCTTCAAGGAAAATAGAATACATATTCAAATACAACTAATTAGAACATGGCTTTTTTGGCGGGCAATTGTTGTTTTGGCGGACGGTTGTTGAGGTTGGTCCTGTGTTCTCCCTGGTGTTTGCACGCTCGGCCCATTTTGTTCCGCAGTCAACCATGTGGTGTGCATGTTTGTGTTTGGAAAGGTGCGGTGTTAAGTGAGTGAGAGGGGAAATGGTTGCATATCCCAGAGCCGACCGGGGGTCTATGAGCAGGGGTAGTGAGAGATGAGGGATATACAGCAGGTAGCTTAGTGGTTAAGTGGTTAAGAGCGTTGTGCCAGTAACCGAAAGGTCGCTGGTTCTAATCCCCGAGCCGACTATGTGAAAAATCTGCCGATGTGCCCTTGAGCAAGGCACTTAACCCTAATTGCTCCTGTAAGTAGCTCTGGATAAGAGTGTCTGCTAAACCGAAAAATAAATAATATATATATACATTTTTAAATCTAATCAAATTTTTTATTGTCCTATCATGATGGAAAGATCCCCAACCCTATATCCTGGACACCCACCTGAGTGACCCATACACCAAAGAGAAGTTCCCGTCTCTTTTATGGACCTGCTGTGAGTATGCAGCCTAAACAGAGAAATAAATGCGGTCAGAGACCTACTTGAGCAGCACCGCCCCCTCAAGATTCTGAGCCTGCCTGGCAGGGTTGGTCCTACAAAGCCAGAGCCCCCTGATGGGAGAGCATAATATACAAGGAAATTCTCAAAGCTGCTAATGAGAACCTTGACGACCTTGTACCTGGCCGGTGGGGATTCCGGTGGGGTACCCCCACCCAGGTAGTGGCAGTGCTGGCAACACTGGCTGCAGTAACCCATGGGGAGGGGGTCACACTCTGACAATCAGAGAGGGGGTTTATCATTGTGGCCCAGGTGGCACAAAATAATCAAAGGTCTGACTGCATGGAGATGCTTGGGAAAAATGGTTACAACGGGGGACCAGAGTGTTTGTGTCTCAGGTGAAGAGGGTGGATCTGATCTCCATCACCTAGGACTTGACATAGATTAAATAGATTAATCAAATCTCACATTGTTGTCAATTTCTGCTCAATCTTGCATGCTTTCTCAATCAGCTGTAACTGTATGTGCACTCGTAAATCAGGTCCTTTCTTGAGTTGGGCTCTGGGATATAACAACCGTTGAGTATCAGATTTAATGGTGGATTGTGGAGGAGGGGGGTTGAGTGTGTTGGAGTATGTGAATATGTGCGTGTGTTTAACTGGCATCTGTTGTTGGGGGGAGGGGGGGGGGGGGGGTATGGGATGGACCACGGGAATTATTTGCTAGGATAATAATTGCTTGTCAATAAATTAAATGTAATACAATGGCAATCCAGGTTATATGTTAAAATCCTATGCATGAACTGCCGACATTATTACGCATATTAATTGATAATGATGGAAAATGAGATATGCAAGATATTTGAATAGATATATATTTTTTAATAGTTATATATAGAGGTGACAGCATTGGAAATGCTTTTGGCGGTTAATCTGCTTCTGTTTTGTGCGTGGCACTGTGTGCTGTTTTCGATGGATGGGTCCTGGCCTCTCGAGGCCCTAGGGATCCGGAGGGATGTGGGTGGGATGCCGATCACTGGGATGACGGCTCAACTTGGGATGGGGAGGGGCTTTAGCGGGGGAATTAGTGGAGAACAATTGAAGGGATACTTAGTAGCAATGCAAATATCACGGTACAGCTATATGGACACTCAATCATTACGGTATTTTTTATTGGTAAATTTACAAACATATATTATGATAAATAGACTTGAAACTTGTATCTCATTATGGTGTATGGTGAAATAAGTATAGCCAGTTATAATTGTAATGGCTTAGCTGATAATAACAAAAGAAGAACAATATTTACATGGCTCAAAGAGAAGGAATATAATATCTATTGTTTACAGGAAACTCATTCAACAATTCTAGATGAAGTTGTGTGGAAAAAGGAATGGGGGGGCGAAATATACTTTTCGCATGGGCAAAGAAACTAAAATGGGGTGATGATATTAATTAATGGTAATTTCGATCCGAATGTGCAAATTGTCCAAATAGATACGCAAGGTATATGGATTATTTTAAATATCTTATTGGACAATAAACAGATATGGCTCATTAACATTTACGGACCAAATAATGATGATCCACACTTCTTTGACAATATATATAATAAATTATCAACCCTGCAAGCAATTCAAGACAATATTATTATGGTGGGGGATTACAATACTGTGTTAAATAGCTCAATGGACCGTAAAGGAAATCACACCACAAACAATCACCCACATGCTCTTAAGGAAATCGTGAATGTCATGGATACATTAGAACTAGTAGATATATGGAGGCTTAAATATCCTGATCTAGTGAGATATACATGGCGGAGACTCAATCAAGTTAGTCGTCTTGACTTCTTTCTTATCTCATTCTCGTTGGCACCAAAAGTGTTGATAGGGGACAGAATGCGGTCGGACCATCATATAATTGGCATATACATTACTCTTAATGAATTTCCACGTGGGCGAGGATATTGGAAATTGAATCAAAGCCTATTGGATGATAATTTATTTTGAACTAGGACAAAGAAATTTATAACTGACTTTTTCCGACATAACATTGGTACAGCAAATCCCCTTATTGTATTGGACACCTTTAAATGTGCCTTTAGAGGCCATGCCATTCAGTACTTATCTCAAAAACAAAAGCAATTTAGGTCAAAAGAGTTTATACTAACAAAGGAAATAGAAAGTCTAACAGAACAGATAGATGGCAATAAAAACTGTAACATAGAGGCTCAGAATAAATTAGAAGAAAAACAAAAAGAAATGGAAAAACTTATTCAAGAAAGATCAAGTGTAATATATTATAAAAATAAAGCAAACTGGATGGAATATAGGGAAAAATGCACCAAATATTTTTTTTATCTTCAACATAGGAATGCTACCAAAAATAATTTAATTAAACTGGTTACAATTGACGGAGTAACCCATAATTCACCAAATGATATTTTGAAGGAGGAAACAAAGTACTTTAAGCATATGTTTTCGCTTCAGTCGCCTCCATCTCCTCTAACTGAAGCTAATTGTAGAGATTTTTTTCTATTGATAATGTAAAATTAACAGCCATACAGAAAGACTAATGTGAAGGTGAAATTACAGAGAAGGAACTTCTGGATGCAATTAAAGACTTTAAGTCCGGGAAAACTCCAGGGTTGGATGGCATACCGGTCGAGGAATACCAAACCATTTTTGATATACTAAGAGGACCATTATTAGCATGTTTTAACCACTCCTATGTAAATGGTAGATTATCTGACACTCAAGAAGAAGGTCTGATCTCATTATTACTGAAACAGGATACAAGTAGAAAATATAAAGATCCAGTCCATTTAAAATATTGGAGGCCCCTTACACTTCAGTGTTGTGATGCAAAAATTCTAGCAAAATGTATAGCGCATAGAATTAAAAAGGTATTGTCGGATATTATTCATTCTAATCAGACAGGTTTTTTACATGGAAGATACATTGGAGATAATATAAGACAAGTATTGGAAACAATAGAACATTATGGAAAATCTGAGAAACCAGGCCTGCTATTCATAGCAGACTTCGAAAAGGCATTTGATAAAATACGACTGGGGTTTATATATAAATGCCTGGAGCATTTCAATTTTGGTGAATGTCTTATAAAATGGGTCAAAATCATGTATAGTAACCCTAGGTGTAAAATACTAAATAATGGCTATTTCTCAGAAAGTTTTAAACTGTCAAGAGGAGTGAAACAAGGTTGTCCACTATCGGCATATCTATTTATTGTGGCCATTGAGATGTTAGCTATTAAAATCAGATCCAACAATAATATCAGGGGATTAGAAATCCAGGGCTTAAAAACAAAGGTGTCATTGTACGCTGATGATTCATGTTTTCTTTTAAATCCACAACTAGAATCCCTCCACAGCCTCATAGAGGATCTAGATACATTTTCTAACCTCTCTGGATTACAACCAAATTATGACAAATGTACTATATTATGTATTGGATCAATAAAAAATAAAAAATGTACATTACCATGTAGTTTACCAATAAAATGGTCTGATGGTGATGTGGATATACTCGGAATACATATCCCAAAGGAAATAAATGATCTCACTTCAATAAATTATAATAGAAAGTTAGCAAAAATTGATAAGATCTTGCTACCATGGAAAGGTAAATACCTGTCAATTTGTGGAAAAATCACCCTGATTAACTCTTTAGTATTATCCCAGTAGTCTTGCCTACGCCTAGCGAACACTTTTTTAAATTACATGAGAAAAAAATATTCAATTTTATTTGGAACGGCAAGCCAGACAACATTAAACTGGCCTATTTATATAATAAATATGAATTCGGAGGACAGAAATTATTAAATATTAAAGCATTAGACCTATCACTAAAAGCTTCAGTCGTACAAAAGTTATACTTAAATCCGAACTGGTTTTCTAGCAAATTAGTAAGATTGTCTCACCCAATGTTCAAGAATGGCCTTTTTCCCTTTATTCAGATTACAACCACTCACTTTCAGTTATTTGAAAAGGAAATCATCTCCCAGATATCACTATTTCTAAAACAAGCCATAGAAAGTTGGTTGCAATTTCAATTTAATCCTCCAGAAACGACAGAACAAATAATGCAACAAATATTGTGGTTAAACTCAAATATACTAATTGACAAAAAAATGGAAGAGGAAAGTAGAAGGGGGAGAAAGTAACGAACTTGTCTGTCGGCATGGCATTAAAGAACATAATTGGTTAAGAAAAACTAATAAATAAAAAAGTATATCAGTTTCATTTAAGGACCAAAGGATTGACAGCCGTCCCATATAGATTGCAAAATAGTTGGGAAGAGATTTTTGATGTACCGATCTCATGGCATAGTGTTTATGAACTGATACGCAAAACGACACCAGATTCACAAATTAGAATCTTTCAACTTAAATTATTATATAAAATTCTTGCTACCAATATAATGTTATTTATATGGGGGATACAATCTTCCCAACTCTGCAGATTTTGCTGCAAAGAGACAGAATCATTAGATCATTTGTTTTGGTACTGTCCATTTGTAGCTTGTTTTTGGACACAGGTCCAGGAATGGCTAAAGGATTGCAATATTTACCTGAAGATAACCCTGCAGATAGCACTACTGGGTGATCTGAAAAGTCATAGTCAATCGATCAATAACATAATAATACTATTAGCAAAAATGTTTATTTTCAATTCACAATCTGTAGAAACAATGAGAATAGAAAGGTTCAGAACATTTGTAAGACATCACAGTACAGTTGAAATATATATGGCAAATAGAAATCCTAAATGGATGGTGTTAAACGATAGATGGGAGGTATTGAATGGAATTGAAGGATGGGACTAATAACAACAATTAATAACAACAAGATAACTAATGTAAAGCATACTGTGTCCATAATAAGTATATAGGTTATAGGTTGAGAGCTTTTGTGAAGGAGCACAGTTAGAAAGATATGGCATATAGAAGCAAACCGGATGGACAAATTTGCATATTATTGCATGACATAAGTATTTGATACATCAGAAAAGCAGAACTTAATATTTGGTACAGAGACCTTTGTTTGCAATTTCAGAGATCATACGTTTCCTGTAGGGCTTGACAAGGTTTACACACACTGCAGCAGGGATTTTGGCCCACTCCTCCATACAGACCTTCTCCAGATCCTTCAAGTTTCGGGGCTGTCGCTGGGCAATACGGACTTTCAGCTCCCTCCAAAGATTTTCTATTGGGTTCAGGTCTGGAGACTGGTTAGGCCACTCCAGGACCTTGAGATGCTTCTTATGGAGCCACTCCTTAGTTGCCCTGGCTGTGTGTTTCGGGTCGTTGTCATGCTGGAAGACCCAGCCACGAACCATCTTCAATGCTCTTACTGAGGGAAGGAGGATGTTGGCCAAGATCTCGTGATACATGGCCCCATACATCCTCCCCTCAATACGGTGCAGTCGTCCTGTCCCCTTTGCAGAAAAGCATCCCCAAAGAATGATGTTTCCACCTCCATGCTTCACGGTTGGGATGGTGTTCTTGGGGTTGTACTCATCCTTCTTCTTCCTCCAAACACGGCGAGTGGAGTTTAGATCAAAAAGCTCTATTTTTGTCTCATCAGACCACATGACCTTCTCCCATTCCTCCTCTGGATCATCCAGATGGTCATTGGCAAACTTCAGACAGGCCTGGACATGCGCTGGCTTGAGCAGGGGGACCTTGCGTGCGCTGCAGGATTTTCATCCATGACGGCGTAGTGTGTTACTAATGGTTTTCTTTGAGACTGTGGTCCCAGCTCTCTTCAGGTCATTGACCAGGTCCTGCCGTGTAGTTCTGGGCTGATCCCTCACCTTCCTCATGATCATTGATGCCCCACGAGGTGAAATCTTGCATGGAGCCCCAGACTGAGGGTGATTGACCGTCATCTTGAACTTCTTCCATTTTCTAATAATTGCGCCAACAGTTGTTGCCTTCTCACCAAGCTGCTTGCATATTGTCCTGTAGCCCATCCCAGCCTTGTGCAGGTCTACAATTTTATCCCTGATGTCCTTACACAGCTCTCTGGTCTTGGCCATTGTTGAGAGGTTGGAGTCTGTTTGATTGAGTGTGTGGACAGGTGTCTTTTATACAGGTAACGAGTTCAAACAGGTGCAGTTAATACAGGTAATGAGTGGAGAACAGGAGGGCTTCTTAAAGAAAAACTAACAGGTCTGTGAGAGCCGGAATTTCTTACTGGTTGGTAGGTGATCAAATTCTTATGTCATGCAATAAAATGCAAATTAATTACTTAAAAATCATACAATATGATTTTCTGGATATTTGTTTTAGATTCCGTCTCTCACAGTTGAAGTGTACCTATGATAAAAATTACAGACCTCTACATGCTTTGTAAGTAGGAAAACCTGCAAAATCGGCAGTGTATCAAATACTTGTTCTCCCCACTGTATATATATATATATATCTATATATATATATATATATATATATATATATATATATATATATACATACACATACATACACATATACACATAATTTTCTGCATCACTTCCAATCCCCCATGTTTATATATATATATATATATATATATATAGATATAGATACAGTGGTGTGAAAAGTGTTTGCCCCCTTCCTGATTTCTTATTTGTTTGCATGTTTGTCACACTTAAATGTTTCAGATCATCAAACAAATTTAAATATTAGTCAAAGATAACACAAGTAAACATAAAATGCAGTTTTGAAATGAATGTTGTTATTATTAAGGGAAAACAAAATCCAAACCTACATGGCCCTGTGACAAACATGCAAACAAATAAGAAATCAGGAAGGGGGCAAACACTTTTTCACACCACTGTATATACACTGCTCAAAAAAATTAAGGGAACACTTAAACAACACAATGTAACTCCAAGTCAATCACACTTCTGTGAAATCAAACTGTCCACTTAGGAAGCAACACTGATTGACAATACATTTCACATGCTGTTGTGCAAATGGAATAGACAACAGGTGGAAATTATAGGCAATTAGCAAGACATCCCCAATAAAGGACTGGTTTTGCAGTTGGTGACCACAGACCACTTCTCAGTTCCTATGCTTCCTGGCTGATGTTTTGGTCACTTTTGAATGCTGGCGGTGCTTTCACTCTAGTGGTAGCATGAGACAGAGTCTACAACCCACACAAGTGGCTCAGGTAGTGCAGCTCATCCAGGATGGCACATCAATGCGAGATTTGTCAAGAAGGTTTGCTGTGTCTGTCAGCGTAGTGTCCAGAGCATGGAGGCGCTACCAGGAGACAGGCCAGTACATCAGGAGACGTGGAGGAGGCCGTAGGAGGGCAACAACCCAGCAGCAGGACTGCTACCTCCTCCTTTGTGCAAGGAGGAGCAGGAGGAGCACTGCCAGAGCCCTGCAAAATGACCTCCAGCAGGCCACAAATGTGCATGTGTCTGCTCAAACGGTCAGAAACAGACTCCATGAGGGTGGTATGAGGGCCCGACATCCACAGGTGGGGGTTGTGCTTACAGCCCAACACCGTGCAGGACGTTTGGCATTTGCCAGAGATCACCAAGATTGGTAAATTCGCCACTGGCACCCTGTGCTCTTCACAGATGAAAGCAGGTTCACACTGAGCACGTGACAGACGTGACAGAGTCTGGAGACGCCGTGGAGAACGTTTTGCTGCCTGCAACATCCTCTAGCATGACCGGTTTGGCGGTGGGTCAGTCATGGTGTGGGGTGTCATTTCTTTGGGGGGCCGCACAGCCCTCCATGTGCTCGCCAGAGGTAGCCTGACTGCCATTAGGTACCGAGATGAGATCCTCAGACCCCTTGTGAGACCATATACTGTTGCGGTTGGCCCTGGGTTCCTCCTAATGCAAGACAATGCTAGACCTCATGTGGCTGGAGTGTGTCAGCAGTTCCTGCAAGAGGAAGGCATTGATGCTATGGACTGGCCCGCCCGTTCCCCAGACCTGAATCCAATTGAGCACATCTGGGACATCATGTCTCGCTCCATCCACCAACGCCACGTTGCACCACAGACTGTCCAGGAGTTGGCGGATGCTTTAGTCCAGGTCTGGGAGGAGATCCCTCAGGAGACCATCCGCCACCTCATCAGGAGCATGTTCAGGCGTCGTAGGGAGGTCATACAGGCACGTGGAGGCCACACACACTACTGAGCCTAATTTTGACTTGTTTTAAGGACATTACATCAAAGTTGGATCAGCCTGTAGTGTGGTTTTCCACTTTAATTTTGAGGGTGACTCCAAATCCAGACCTCCATGGGTTGATACATTTGATTTCCATTGATAATGTTGTCAGCACATTCAACTATGTAAAGAAAAAAGTTTTTAATAAGATTATTTCATTCATTCAGATCTAGTATGTGTTATTTTAGTGTTCCTTTTATTTTTTTGAGCAGTGTATATATATATATATAATATATATAAAAACATGGGGATTGGAAGTGATGCAGACAATTACATTGATGGAAGATACAATCTATCTGCAATTTTAAGCTGATCTACCCCCCTCCAAAAAAATTTAATAAAATAAAAACAATAATAAATAAATAAAAATACAGTAACCACTAACTACTCCTCATGGTGAACTTTACCTCCTCAAGAGTTGTGTCGAGGCTCTCTCTCAGCTCCTGGACAGAGTTCTTCAGCTGGGTCCTGCACTGGTTGATCTGGTCCTCTCTCTCTCTCTCTCTCACTCTCTCTCTTTCTTCTGGTCCTCCCTCTCCTCTTCTCTTTCTCTCCTCTTCTCTCTCTCCTCTCTCTCTTTTCTCCACTCTCTCTCTCTCTCTCCTCGTTTCTTCTGTCTCTCTCTCTCTCTCTCTCCTCCCCCTCTCTCCTCTCCTCTCTCTCTCTCTCTCTCTCTCTCCTCTCCTCACTCCTTCCTTTCCTCTGTTCCCCCTTCCTCTTCTTTCTTCTCCTTTCTATCTTCCTCTCCCATCCTGTCTCTTTCTCTTCTCTCCCGATACCTCGCTCAGCGTTCTCTCGTCGTCTCTAGCAAATCGCCCTTTATCTCTACTCGTTCTCCTTCTCTCTTGTCTCTTTCCTCTGCTACCTGTCTCTATCCTGATTCTCGTCTTCTCTTTCTCTCTCACAGCCTGTCTCCTCTCTCTCTCGTCTCTTCATCTGTCTCTCTCTCTCTCTCTCGCAGCTCGAAAACGCTCTCTCTCTCTCATCGGAGACAATCAAATGTCTCTCTGCGCTGGCAGGCAATGGAAGCTATACTGTCCCTCTCAAGGGATGATCTGCATCGTAGCGGTCATCACTGCGTACTCTACAGACGGTAAAATCAACCTCACTCAATGAAAGACACGATTCTCAGGGACCAGAAAGATAACGAACATCGGGGGAGCGCGGTCTCCCCGTCCTCAGCTCCGAAGTGGAACCTTCCCTCCGAGGTAGAAAACATAGTAACTCCCTCCCGATCTCGCTGGCCTAACGCTCCCTCCGGTCAAACATCTCCATCTCGGCTTGCCGACATACCATACAGTCAGATCACATAACGTCCGCGTCGCACTCCATATCTAGTCAGTCAGCCCTCTCTCTCACTCTCCTCGCTCCTCTCCTCTCAACTCTCCCCCAGCTCGATGACTCACACGTCAAATCGCGTCAAAAACTCTCAACTCTCTCATCAGCAGAGTAGCGGCAAAAGGATGCACATCGGAGCTCCTACGTCAGCCAGCATCCTCCTGTCAGGCTTCATGCTCTTCTGAGATCGGATGATTCGCCGACACGCCCACTCTCAGAAGAGGGCTCGACATCGATCCCATATCCCGACGCGTGCTCTTACACGCTCCTGCACCAGAGGGCTCTCAGGTTCCGTCTCTAATCTGGCTTGCTCTCACTCAAAGCGTACTCCTCAGCTCACTATGAATCTATCACCGCAGAGACTCACGGAGAATGCCACATCTCGACTCACGCCACTGACGCGGGCCATCTATCGGCCCGTCGCATCGATCTGGTGTCTCAGCCTATCCGTCGGCTCGATTCGCTCAAAGTGACCTCCCAAAGGTCGCCTCTCCATCAGTCTCGTCTCTAGAAGATTGGAGGACGTTGGCGACAACTCTCCACTTGGTGCTAACATCACCGTCGACACGAAGCTCGCACGATTTTCTATACTCTCGTCTCTCATTCTCTCACGTCGCCTCAGGCTTGCCTCCTCACGTCCGATCGCTCTCTCCCTCTCCTCTCTCTAGTCCTCTCTCCTCTCTCGTCTCTCACCCCTACAGTGCGTCGAGGGGGTCATCTCGCACATCAGCAAAGTCCTCAATGCTCATCTCTGTCTCAAAGTCATACGGAACTGCCAGGATGAACAAACGTCAAGCAGCTTCAAGGTCGTCCTCTGCTTACCATAATCAAACCATCTCGATCTCAAGCATCTCGTCTCTAAGAGGACAGACGGATCGCGAGTGGGTCATCGCAGCTTAAGATCTCGTCACATATTACCTCCTCGCAGGTCTCGCCAGGTCGTCTCGCAGGGTGTGGGCCCATCATCGCTCTCTCCTCTTTCTCTCTGTCTCTCTCTCTCTGTCTCTCTCACATGACTAATACCTACCTCTAGTCATCACCATAAACCACTGATCACAGGACTAATACCTACCTCTAGTCATCGCCATACACCACTGATCACAGGACCTACCTATTGTATGAATGGATCTCATTCACACTGTGTGGCTTTTCCCAGGGATTCTCTCCCCTCATTCCTAAGAAATTACTTCACTGCTTTGTTTTATCCACTGTGGTTCACAGGGTTGTAGATGTGTTTTATCCACTGTCGGTCACAGGGCTGTAGATTGTGTTTTATCCACGTGTCCACAGCTGTAGAGGTGTTTTTTATAAAATCCACTGTGGTTCACAGGGCTGTAGATGTGTTTTATCCACTGTGGTTCACAGGGCTGTAGATGTGTTTTATCCACTGTGGTTCACAGGGCTGTAGATGTGTTTTATCCACTGTGGTTCACAGGGCTGTAGATGTGTTTTATCCACTGTGTTTCACAGGGCTGTAGATGTGTTTTTATCCACTGTGTTCACAGGGCTGTAGATGTGTTTTTTATTTTATCACTGTGGTTCACAGGGCGGTATATTGTTTATCCAACGGTGGTTCACAGGGCTGTAGATGTGTTTTATCCATTGTGGTTCACAGGGTTGTAGATGTTAATTGGATTCCTGTGTCTAGCAGGGCTGTTTTTATTTCACTGTAATGTACTCATGTAATGTATGAGTCGATGCTACCATTCAAACATCCTCGCTCATTTAATTAGCGTTGAGAGAGAGAGTGAGAGAGGGAGAGAGAGAGCGGGAGAGAGTGAATAGAGAGAGAGGGTGGGGGAGCGGGGGGGAGAAGAGAGAGAGGGGGGCTAGAGGAGCGAGAGAGAGAGAGAGTAGAGGGGGGAGGAAGAGCGAAGCGAGTAGAGAGATATAGAGAGACTATAATCCAGCTCTCTATCATCGCTATATCTCGAGCGCTATCGCTCTCCTCTCGCGCTACTCTTTCTCTCTCTCTC